GGGGGGCGCGGCGAACTAGTCGGCGGGCGAGGGGAGCGGCCGAGACTTGGGGTGGTGCCGTTCCGGTTCCGGTGGCTCATCGCGCGGGAGACTGTTCGCCAAAGAGGTAGACGTGGAGCGAGAGGAGGCGGGCTGGGAAGTGGCTCGGTGAGGACCCCGCGCGTGCGGCATGACGGCCGCCGCCTCGGCACCGCATGGACCCCGCGGGGATGGCCGAGGGACGAGGGAAGGGCGGCGAGGCTCAGAGATGCCTGATGAGGCTGTCGCTCGGCGGATAAAGCTCGAGATGGCGGAACGCTCGTAGACGTGGCCATCCTCGGCGGTGACGGGGTCGACCGGCAGCTGGCGAGTCAGCGGACAGACCCACGGGTCGAGCGCCTCCGCCATCTCCTCCTGCGGCGACCGGGCACCAGATGCGAGCTGGCGGGAAACGGCGGAGAATCGGGGATACCGGCTGTACGTGGGAGCGAGGCGTCGAGGGAGAATGGTGCTGCGCGCAGCGAAGGGCGCTGTCGGGGATGCGGGGCAGCCGTGGCGACTCGCCGCGGCGCGGCAAGGGGTGGCAAGCCCAAAGCAAACAAGGCGAAACTATTGGCTCACCTCGTCGCTAGTCGTGCCCGACTGGGAGGCAGAGTTGCTGCAGCGAGAGGAGCGGCCGTCGAGAGAGGCGTTCGGCGTCGCGAGCTCGGCCTTTTGCTGCTGCCGCGCCGCGGAGCGGGTGAGCAGCGCCGAACATGCCGTCATTCCGGCCACGACAAGTCTTCGCCTGCACCTTGCCCTGGTCGCCGATTCGTTCACCGGTGATTGAAAAAAGAAACCGGGACCGCGACCGATGCGAGTCGACTGGTGTGTGTCGTCGTGGTTTCGTATCAAGAATACTCACTCACACGGAAAGCGGTGCAGCGTGGTGCACAAATAACTCCCTTTGTTCTCTTCTCATAAAATCGCGGAGGGTCTTCGTGAACTGAAGCGACCCAACGATTTTATACAGCTGCCGCCACGCCTGTTCTGCCGGGATCCATGGTCACTCCTGTTCAATGGCTTCGCACGCCTCGAACACGAAGGGGAGTCCTGTCGCAGCAAGTGCGAGGGGATGCCGGCCTGCCGCTATTACTCGAGGTGGTCGACCGGCTGGTGCCGGCTGACTGCTAGCTGCGACATACCTTTCGAGGACAGGGTTAACCCGGCCGACCAGACCATCAACTTGGTGGCATGTGCAGTGTTTCAGCAGCCGCCCCTGCCACCGCTATCGCCACCACCTCAACCGCGATCAACGGGTATCAGAGCTCGAGACCTCGTGACAATCCCACCGCCGATGCAACCATCGCCGCAACCGCCACCCCCAAGAAACCACGCCTCCGTGGCTCGGGTTACACCAATCCTCGCTACCCACGCGGCCAAAGCGCAAAGGAAGAAAGGATATGCCCTGGAGAATTTTACAACAAAACTCCCTCGCACAACACTGGGCACGGGACTGGCGCGCACTGGCACTAACACAGGTACACCACTGGAGCCGCCTAAGCGACTCCCGCGAGGACGGCGAGGCACTTAGCTCCGTGCACTCGACCGCCCTCGCCGCTGGCAAGCTCATTCACAATCTGCTCTGCGATGGCCGTGTGAAGAACGACTGAGATGCGCTGCTTCTGCAGCCCCAGCCAGCTCTTGGTGGTCCAAGTCACCTCATCGAGGTACTGGGCCCGCGTCAGCTTGTTCTGCATGCAGCACGTTCGCCGCCTTCCAGAGGATCTCGCCGACCCCCTTCCCAAACCCACCGAACGACTCGAACAGCAGCAGCTGCACGTCGACGTCCTTGTCCTCCCTGGCGTAGCGATACTCGCCGCCATAGGACGGTACCGTATGCGGCGATCGCCACCCACTACCCTGACCCCCCTGGAAAACCTCGAGAGCAGCCGCACACCACACACAATTCAAATTTTGATCCATGGAGTCGCCTTCTGCCCGCTCCGTCGCCTTCTCGGCCGCCGCCGCCACGGCCGCCGTAGCAATCGGCGCCGGCCCCGTCGCCGCTGCTGTCGCCGCCGCTGTCGCCGCCGCCGCAGCAGCCGCTCCGGCACGCCGTCGAGTCGTGCTCTCCTCTGCGCTCACGGTGGAGGCGCCAGAAGTGCCGTGGGCGCAACAGCGGCCAGCCGAGGCGAGAGGCGAGAGAGAGCACTGCGTCCTGTCGGTCGGTGCGGCGAGCGACTCTGTTGCCGCCGGTGTCCGTAGCGTCCGAGCAGGGCCATCGCCCCTCCGGTCGTCGCTGCGGCGAGAGAGGACGGCCGCACGGCGCGCGACGTCGCCGTCGGCCGCGGCGCGAGGTTCGGCGGGCGGACATTCGCGGACGACGCGGGTCCTCCTCTCGCCGGCCGTCGCCGCCGTCGCCATTCCTCCTTCCCACGCCTCCGCCATCAACGGCCGCCGCGACGCTGCTTCCGAACTGCGGCCGAGACGCGGCGGTAGCGGCGGCGCTGCGGGTGGTGGCCGCAATGCTGCATGCGGCCGCGGCGGCACGGGCGGCGACGGCGACACTGGCGGCGAGGGTGGCAGCAAGGGAGGCAGCGAGTGGAGCGGCCTCGGAGGCGACGGGTGCGGCGGCGGGAGCGGCGGCGGCGGCAGTCTGAGCGGCGGCAAGGGCGGCGGCGAGGGCGGCGGCGAGGGCGGCGGCGAGGTGGGCGTTCTGTCGCTCAAGCGACGCCGCGACACGGCGGGCGGCGGCGTGGCGGGCGGCGCGGCGCGAGGGCGTGAGAAGCGCGCGCGCTCTCCGCGCGTCGTGCTCTCGTCAAGCCACGTCTGCGTCGCCGGCGCGAGATATCGCCGAGAGATGGCCGAGAGATTGCTCCGAGGTCGCTGAGAGATGGCCGAGAGATGGCCGCGAGAGAGAGCGCCGAGATGTGGCCACGCCGGGAGGCTTTGTGCGCCACTCCTCTCAGACTCGTTCGCGCTCCTTCTCTCCCATCTTCCACCCGCGTTTCCTCACCCACCCCTCAACCCTGCCGCGCAGGCGCGGCGCCGCCGCCGTCGCGGCTTCGGCACGCCTCGCCCGCCAGGGGTAGCCGAGCCGCCTCCCCCCTCCCCTCGCCGACACGCTCCCCCCTCCCCTCCCCGTTGGCGGCGGCGGCGAAGGCGGCGCCGTCGCGCCCCCCGTCTCCAGCGCCGTCGCCGGTGTCGCGCTTCTCTCTGGCCTCGCCGCAGGCACGACACACGCACGCATACCACACACACACACACACACACACACACACACACGCACGCACGCACGCACGCATACCACACACACACACACACACACACACACACACACACACACACACACACACACACACACACACACACACACACACACACACACACACACACACACACACACACACGCCGCTCACCCACGCGCACCGGGCTTTGCAGTTGAATGCCGTTGGGCTCCTGTCGTCTAGACGCAGAGTCGCGAGGGATCGCCCGGCCCTTGCCCCACTGCCGTGCTTGTGTGAGGAGAGGGTTTACCTCACCTCGCCGCAGGCGCCGCCCAGCCGCGCGGGCGGAGGAGGCGGCATTGCACCGGCTCCGCCCGCTGGGATCGGTGGAGCCGCGGGTGTCCGGCGCCGCTCGGCGCGTCTCGTGCTCACTCCTAGCCACGCTTTCTGCGCCGCCACGGCGGGTGGCGGAGGCGCAGGCGGAGGCGGAGGCGGAGGCGGAGGCGGAGGCGCAGGCGGAGGCGCAGGCGGAGGCGCAGGCGGAGGCGGAGGCGGAGGCGGAGGTGGCGGAGCTGCTGCTGCTCGGCACAGCGGGCGGAGGCGGAGCAGGGGGCCAGGCAGTGGCGTCGAGAGCGCACGTCCGCCGCAGCTATCGATGATTGGCGGCGGCGGCGCGGCGGGGGGAGCGCGGCCGCTGATTGCACGCCACGGCATGCGCACGCGCAAGGGCGAGTGAGGCGAGCGCTGCGCAGCATGCCACAGTTTGAGAACAGAGAAGCCGGTGTGGACTGCTTGCCCCTGATGCCCACAGCCTGATGCCCCGGCACTCCACACACAAGGATCAAGGGACTAGGGTGGCCAGGGGGCAAGGCCAGAACCTCGAAAAAAAGAAAAGAAAATTCAGGCGCGACCAAAATCCGTCAAGAGGACGCACCCCCCCCGGCAAGCTGCATGGGGTCTGCAAGCGCCTTTCTGTCACTGGTGCTTCTCTCCCTCGGGCTCCTCCTGCTGCTGCGGAGCCACAACACCGCGGCGCCAGGTCTGCGGCGCAGCGGGACTGCTTCGACGGCGCTGGTCTTGGAGCGAGTAGCGGTAACGGACGTTCGGTCTGCGGTCACAACGGCGAAGCTCCGGCTGCAACGCGCTTCCGATGGGATGCATGGCGCACAGACGGCGCTCAGACATGCACGGCTGCAGCTGGGTGGAGGAGGAAACGGGCAGTCGGACCGGCTCTCGGTCTTCAACCGTGGCATGTGGCTCGACGCTGGTGGCAGTGGCGGCAGCGGTGGCGGTGGTGCCACCGGCGGCGGTGGGGATGGCGGCGGCGGCATCGGTGGTGGTGCGAGCCGGAGGTCGATCGCGCGGCGTGTGTTTTGCATCACCTTCTCCGACGGCCGCCGCGTGAGCAGCCTCTTCCTGAAGGTGCTCGCGGCGACGGTCTGGCGCTTCTCGGGCTCCCCGCTGCACGTCCTTGGCCTGTCGGGCGCCAGAGAGCCCGCCGTCGCTAATCGGTGGCGCATCGAGCGAGCCAACCTCACGGGCAGTGACCCAGGCAAGCTGAAGAAGCTCTTTTTCCTCGGCGCGCTGCTCGAGAAGGACCCGCCGCTGCCGGGCATGCGACCCACCGACCTGCTCCTGTTTATGGACGCGTTCGACGTGCTCGTGCAGCGGCCGCTGCAGCTGCTTCCCGCCGCCTGCGACCCTAGAAGCAGAAGACGCAGTCTTGTGTTCCGACTAGCGCTCGAGCGGGCACGTATTCCGCTGTCTTCCGCCGCATTCGGCTGTACTCACTGTCCTCGCACCCCTCGTACTCACGCGGTGCGCCGAAGACTCTGCACAACACCGTCTTCCCGCCCTGAGGTTGGCGTATTCAGCACGTAGGCCTACGACGCCCTCGCCGAGGCGCACGGTCTGCCCACGGGGGTCGACCCGTTTGTGCTGATGGGGGAGCAAAATTGCTGGCCGTGGCCGCACCCGCCGGGGTGGCCGGCGGAACGGCTTCCCAGGATGGCGCAGCGCGTGCTCCTCCCTCCGCCGCCGCCGCCGCCGCCGGGCGCCAAGCCGCAGCGGCACAGGCGAGGCATCGACATGGGGTACATGCGCGGGCGCTCCTTCTCCCTTCCAGACACGGGCGACGAAGAGTGGCGTCTCGGAGGCAGCGGAGACGGCAGCGGAGGCGGTGGTGGCGTAGGCGGCGGAGGTGGAGGCGGAGGCGATGGCGGTGGGGGCGCTGGAGGCGGCGGTGGCGGTGGCACAGAAGGCGGCGGATGGAGAGGCGGCGTCCGGCTGAGGCGGAGGTCTTCGCTCTTCGATGCATCTGATCTGTGCCCGGAGCTGCGAGTAGTTGAGAACTGTTGATGGTTCATCATCACTCAATGAATGATAGGCCTCTGATCTGTGCCCGGAGCTACGCCGACGCTCCAGGGCGGACGCGGCACGTAGCAGCGGGGGAGGAGGAGGCGGGGTCCTTGTGGGTGGAGCAGGCGGCGGAGGTGGTGACAGCGGCAGAGGCGGCGGTGATGGCGGCGGCGGCGGCGGCGGCGGTGGAGACGGAGGCGAAGGCGGCGGCGGCGGCGACCCTCAGCTCGCGCGGTGGCCGTTTCCAAACTCGGGCGTCTTCCTGGCTTCGCTGACGGCAGCGCGTGCGATGCTGGAGCAGGCGCGGCAGCACCCACGCGCACCGTTGCACTTTGAATGCCTTGGCGCTCCTCTTCTAGACGTCGCCTTTGCCCGTGTTCTACCACGGTGTGTGTGTGGAGAACTCAAGCTGTGACCTGACCTCAGGCGCGGAAGCTTCTCCTCGACGGCCACTTCGAGGACCAAGGCATGCTCGGTCTCGCGTACCTCTCGCGCGCCGCGCCGGGAGGCCTCGCAGACGACGGTGTGTCGGCGATTGTCGACTCGAGCGCGCGCCTCTTCTCGTCGCAGGTATATCTCGGCCAATCTCGGCCAATCTCAGCTAATCTCGGCTAATCTCAGCTAATCTCGGCTAATCTCGGGTAATCTCGGGTAATCTCGGCTAATCTCGTGGCAGTACGCCTACCGAGCCGACTGGTGGGCACGGCCGGCCTGTTTTGCGGACTATTTCGACGCGGCGGGAGAGCCTCCCGCGCAGCTCGCCACGCGCGCCGCCCCCTTCGCGATGCACTTCCAGGGTTCCTCTGGCCGCCACCGGCTGGGCTGGTGTGTCGCGACAGTCAGCCAATCTTACGCACGCCTTTGCACGGACGACGCGTCCACACGCACACAACACGTTGCGCACGATCCTGGCTCGGGGAGCCGACACTAGGCACACTGTCACCGGCCGTCTCAGTCCGGATTGCTGCACACGCAGGTGCGTCGCGACAATGCTCGCAAAGTGTGCCGAGGGCGGGGCCGAGCTAGGCCACTATGTCGACGTCGACGCGAGCCGCGAGGTGCCCATTGGGAAGCTCTGCGGCGGCGTGCTGGTCCCGCGTCCGAGGGGGGACACGGGCGTGCCACCGGGCGTCGCGGCGGCGCGGCCGGTTCCGTGCGGCGACATTGGCGGCGGCGGCGGAGCGTGGACCCAGATCAACTGCTCGCACGATACGTGCAGCACGGTCGCTGGGCAGTCGGCGTACTAAATCGACCACGGTGTTTGAAAACAACCACAATGGTTTCCTGCCACCCCCCCGGGCCCCGCCCCCAGCTCCACAGACGACCACGCACAACGCGCCGCTCTTTCGTGACAGTAACCTCTCTCTCGACTGTATATAATTCACGCATCCCGGCCGCTCGCGCATCATGGCCGCTCGGCCCTCCCTCGGCGGTGCCTGTCCCCCATAAAGCCGCGGAAGCCATTGCCCGCGCGCCGTCATTGCTCGGCCGTCTCAGATGACTTCTCCGATGGCTCGATACCCTCGCCCGTCACGCCCTCCGGGCCCGTCAAGCCCGTCAGCCTCCAGAACTCCGCCTCGACCTCCTTTCGCCTCTCCTCCCACGGCACGGCCGCCTCCGCGCCCTCCTCCTTGGCCTGCCCCTTTGCGCGCAGCTCCCTCGCTCGCAGCTCCCTCGCTCGCAGCTCCTTTGCGCGCGCCTCGAGGTTCTTCTCGCGCCTGCTCACAGTCCCAAGCATGGAGACGCGCCGCCCAGAACCCGTGCGGCGTGCGGCCTGGCACTGGCCGGCTAGGATCGGCTAGCATCGGCCCATCTCTGGCCAAATCTCAGTAGATCGCGGCTAGTCCCGTGCTTTGACTCTCGATCCAGCATGTGGCTTACGCCCTGCTTCTCGTTCTGCTGCATTTGCGACAAGCCGTCGCACAGCTCGAGCATGTAGACCGAACCGTCCACCTGTAACCACCGCTCGCGTGAAGGAAGGCGCAACCCCACCGCGCAAAGGAGCCTTCGTAGGTCGGCCACCGAGCCAGCCGCCACCCACCGGCCGGCCTCTTGCATCTTGACGCGTGCGAGGCCGTCGCCGTCGACCTGCCGTACAACTCCATGTCTGAACAGGCGTCACCCACAGCACTGGCACAAACCCGAAGACACAGGTTCACTGGGGGAAGAGACTGTAAGACGACAAGGCGATGCGGAGGCTTGGCGGTGTGTGCAGCGTGCGGCTTAAGTCAAAGAATAATGCAGCCCTTCGCCTGCAGCGAGAGCGCCGGCTCGTTTTGCTTGTAAAAGTAGTCCCACACGTCGAGCGTGCCGTCCATCTTTGTGGTGGCGAAGACGCCTGTTGGTGGAGAGGCGTGATGAGACGCTGTGTTGCAGCTCTTCGATCGCCGTCGTGGCGTAGGCGCCAGGCCGCGTTGGCGACCACGTGGCGTCGAGGATGTAGTCCTTTGCGTAGCTGTTGACAGGCCGAAGGAGTGAGGGCGCGCACTTTAGAATAGATGGCAATGGGGCAGCTCTCAGAGCGCTTGGACGTCATGACGGGCGTCTTAATGTCCTCGTTCCACAACCGCACCTGTTCACGCCGCTTTGTGTGGAGCACGGCTCACGGGTGGCTTCGCTTATTTCGTTCCGCACGGGGCGCCGTCCAATCACCCACCGTCATAAAGTACTTGGGGAAGAAAGGGTTGCGCGCCTGTTCTTAGCAATGACGAGTGAAGCGAACGCCAGGTTGACCCGAGGTGAGAATGGACAGGGGATGGCTTCGTGCCAGCGCGTAAACCGGCCCGCAATGACCCTCGTAGATGGTGCCCACGCGATCGCTCGGGTTCTTAGCCTTGCGGTTGCACGCGACCACCTTGCCCTGCTCTGTGCCGACGAGGAACTGCGCGGCGGCACGCGCGATGGGTGACGTGCAGTCCATGTGTCGCGGGCGTGTGGTAATGAGGAGGAACGCTAGTGACGAATGCGCCCGGACGCAAGCGGGAGTGGAGAGGAGGGAAGGAGCCAAGTGGGCGTGCGCGCCACACCTTGCCTCCCGCGGTCGAGTACTCTAGCGACACGCCGCCCATGGGTCCCGCACCCGGCGCTGCGCCTGTTGACGATAGTTACATACTGTGACTCGCGCAGATTTGACGGGTAGCGGCCGGCATGCTGTGAGCGGCGCCCTTATCGTCGAGCGAAAGCTGCTCCGCCGGCTCGGCCAGCTTTCGGATGTCCCACCACAGCACCTATCCACAGCCGCGGCGAGGCATGGATCTACGGCCGCCAGTCTCGCGGTCACCCCGACCAAGATTCTACCTGCCCATCGGTGGACGTCGACGCGCACTCGTAGGCGGTCTTACCCTGCAGCCACCAAACGTCGTACACCGGGTCGCGGTGCGACTTCTCGATGATTGACGTCTCGACCGGCGCCTGCGCGCACGAGACACGTGGTAAGGATCCGGCGTCGCTCACTCCCTGTAAGCTCAATGTCTCGGCAAGACCTCGCCGCGTCTCGTGTCCCAACACTGCACCAATCCGTTGTACGCCCCGCTCACAAGCAGATTTGGGTCCTACTCATGCCAGTCCGTGTGATGAAACGTCCCCACGCCCTCGCATCGCGAGGCGGGCGAGGCCTTTGGGTTGTACTGCAGGCAGTTGAGCGGCGAGGACGGCGCGAGCTCCTGGTGACAGACACAACGTTGGGGCGGAGTGCTAAGTAGAGGGTGTCGGTTGACTAGTAAGACGTTGGGGCAAACGCGTCGTTACTAGCTCGTACGCAAGGGCCTGGTCGGGCGCGTTCGGGTTATTGACGTCCCAGATGTACGACTTGTTCGACATGGCCTCTTGTCGCCAGTCTTGGAATTGCAGCGTCGAAAAGGCGACGGCGAGCTTCTTGCCGCCGTCCGGGTACCTGTGAGAGGAGCAGTGGAGTAGGTTGGCTCCACTGCGTTTTCGTTGGAGGTGAGTTCTGTATGCCCCCTCATCGACTTTCTCAATTTGCCTCTCTCTCCGCAGCCCTAGAATTCACAGCTCCGCCGCTGTGAAGAGACGCCGCCGTGCGTGGCAGCGGCGACAAGGGAGAGCTTTCTATACTCTACTACACTGTACTAACCGACGAGCTGCCACAGCTGTGACAGCGATGGCCTCGCCCTCACTGGCCCTAAGTCACTAGAGCTGTGGCTTGTGTGAGGCTCCAGGTAGGGGGGTTCCCGGCACACTGTGAGACCATGGGTGTGAGGTAAAACCACGCTACCAGCGCTTGGTCACATCAGCCCTGAGGTCAGATCCTTCTACTCTGTAAAACACTTGTCTACTCGCTGGACCTGGAGCCGAGCAGGAGGGCCTGGCGCACAAGCCACAACCCCTGTGCAACTCAGGGTCCGCTCCCTTTAAAACAAAGCCACGGCACCTTTTCAAAGCCATTGCATATTAAACACTCAGGGGCATCGGTTACCTCTAGACGGGGTCGCGGGCGCGACCGCTCCAGGTTCCACAGCGCCACTACGAGTGTGAAGCGCGAACGCTCCCTCCTGGAGTTTGTGCTGATGAAGCAAGGACATCGCGAGAGGCGTCGGTGCACTGGCTGGAAGTGCAACCAGTGTGAAGCGCGAGCGCTCCGCGTCCTTCGCGTTGCTAGTCATCTAGGCGGAGAAGGCCTTGGCAATTTTACACTGTCTCCTCGAAGGCGGAGAAGGCCTTGGCAATGTTACGCTGTCTCCTCGAAGGCGGAGAAGGCCTTGGCAATGTTACACTGTCTCCTCGAAGGCGGAGAAGGCCTTGGCAATGTTACGCTGTCTCCTCGAAGGCGGAGAAGGCCTTGGCAATGTTACATGAGACGTCCTCCGCTCGCCGCGGGAGGCATCACGCGCGGACCGTGTCGCTAGAGAGCTGGAAGCCACCAGAGCGAGTCAGCAAAAGTCTCGCATTTTGACTGCTATGCATTCCTCGCCAGTGAAAGTGGCGTCGCACATGTTGGAGCACTGTCCCTCATCTGCCTCCGTGGTCTTGAGCCAGAACCCAATGTGAATCGCTGTGACGCCGCGGAGGTCGATGCCCCAGTGTCCGACAGGAGAGCCATCGCCGGTGACGGAGAGCTCAAAGTTGGTGAAGAGCGAAGCCGAGTTGTAGGGCCCGCTGGGATCGTTGTCCACGAAATAGGAGTTCTGGTAGGTTTGCTCGAAGGCTGCGTTGGTGCAGTAGTAGAGCCGATCGGCCTCGAGCGTGCCCTGCGCTTTTATTACCCAAAAGCTAGGCTACACAACGCCCTCTATGTTGGGTCAAGGCGGGCGCTTTTTTGGTTGCCGTGAAGACTGGCAATTTTGTTTGGATATCGCACTCCCCGGTAGCCGAGTTCACATTCCAGTAGGTTGCCGAGTAGGTAACTGTGTTGTCAGCGTTGCTCTCGTACGCTTGGCCCGAAGGAGCTCCAGTGAAGTTGTAGTCATCAAACATGCAAGAGTCCGCTTGACAGCCGATCTTAAACAGCTCATCGTCCGACTTCCGGACTTGGTTCGTCATCTCACCAGTCGCCGTCAGACTCACGGTGAGCTGACCATTTCCTGAGTCTGCGCCCTCGAGATACGCGGCGATGCCGCGCACAAAGACCTCGTCTGTATCGCGGCTCAAGCTCTTCTGGCTCCTCATGTATTCAGTCGGAAACTGAATCGGGAGTTTGCCCCAGCCCTCGCTCTGCGGGTCCACGAATCTCTCAAATTGGGCGGCCGTGATGTAGGGATACGTGTATCCGTCCTCTTCGAGCCCAATCGAGTTGTACGTGGGCTCGACCCGGGGCGGCTCCGTACAGTTCAAGATCTCGCGTCGGCTCTCGCAGCACGTCTCGTCCTCAGCGAATCCCCCATCGAGAGTGGCGTTGAAGGCCTGGCATTCTACGCCCGAGGCAGGGAAGCACTTGAGCACAGCATCGTAATCGCACTCAGAGGCAAAGCACAGGCAATCCGATTCAACGCAGCTCGTCATGTTGGTGACGAACGATGGTGGCTCGAGCGGCGTGCAGGACGCGTTGAAGACCTCCACCTAAGGTAAGCCCGGGGGGGCGTTACAAGCTCATTTCAAAGATCCCTCATGTGAAGGTGTGGTGTGGTGTGGTGTCTGACCTTGAGTGCCACAAACGGGAAATCATAAGCCTCCTCTTCTTTGGCGTCCAGTTTCTCCCATAGCACTCGATCGACGTAGCAGTTGACAGCCTGCGAAAGGTTGTTGATCGTCTCGTACGGTGCCAAATACGTGTTGGCCTCCTCAATGAAGTCTGCCGCTTTGCCGCACGGATCCAGCTCCATCGGAGCCAACGAGGGGAATATCCCAGCCGAGAAGTTGTAGCAGAGCTCGTGAAGGGGATTCTTCGGAGCGGTGCTGCTCGCCACACAACGCTGAAAGAGTCCGGTGGTCTGGTAAGAGTAGCTCTGACAGAGTTGGAGGGCGATTGCCTGCATCTGGAGCCCCAGGCCTGTGACCAGGACAGCCTGCGTGCTCTGCTGAAGAGCGAAGTAGCCGTTCGGGACCTCTGCGTCGAACGCGGCTGCGATTGCATCGTTCGCCGTGCGGGAGATGTTGATCGTCTGAGCATCGATGAGGTACTGCTGCAAGCCTCCAACGTAGCGCATCCCTTGATTGACATAGTCATTCCCGTAGTCCTTCTGCGCGTCGATCAAATCGATGATGTGTTGGGCTGCGCCGTTGATGCTCGTGCTATACCCCGTCCTGTGCGCGGGAGAAAAGGGGACAGTGGTATACAAGGGTGCGGCTACATTGATTAGCCAATGTACACAATACGAGGCGCACAGGTACTCGTTGTATTCCTCCTTCATCGATGCGTAATACTCTGTCCAGAAGCCCCAGCCCATCGTCGGCAGCTCCTACGGCAGTGGCTGACGCGTTTCATGACGATGCTATGATGGGACCCTGCGGGGAATAGAGCGAGTTCTATGCCTCGTTGAGATTGTCGAGAGCCGCTTGGAGCGCGTCCATCTCATCGCCGTCTGGGATGTCGCAGTCCGCTGGGCTGTCGCAGCCGGTGCTCGGGAGTAGCACGTCGTTATCCGCGAGGACCTCCATCAAGTCATACGTCAATTCGACGGAGTCGTCCGAGGGAAACTTGTCGTTCGCATCGTCGTCGCTGTTGGCCGATACGAGTGCCGATAATGCAAAGCCCATGGTCTTGGCATTGTTCGCGACCGTTTCCGTGAAGAAGCCGAGAGAGGAGGTAAAGTCGGCGCCTTTCTTCCGCTCCGATTTTCCGGGCTTCCCTTCATCCCCTGCTTTGTATTCCATCATATTTGCAAAGGTTCGCGCGCCGCCCGTGCAAAGGTTCGCGACTCCAAATGCAAGGTTCCAGATGGCCTCCCGACGTTTTGCGGCGTAGTACTCGTCGAGGGCGTCCTGAAAGTCAAATCCGGCTTGAACAATGGTCGCATTCAGGCGCTTCATCGCTTGGAGCGCATAGGACATGCCCGACGCGGCACTCTCGATGGTGTCGACGGTCTGGCCCATGCTCACCATCGTGGTTGACTCCTCGGCTTTCGCATTTATAGCGTGCTTCTTCTTCATGAGCTCGTTGATATCGAGGAGCGTTTCCACCTTCTTCATCTCTTGGAGGAGCGAATTGAATTGCTCGAAATACAAGCCTAGCTGCTCTCCGTAGAATTTGAGGTTGAAGCTCGGAACATAGCCGGAGGAGTTGCCCTGCAGGATCCCCTGCGCCCACACGTTGAGGGCGTTGCTCGCCCATTGGATGGTCGCGATCTGAGTGTCGACGAGGTTTGCTGAGCTGTACGTATCGTCGGCGAAATGGGGGGCTGTCATGGTTTTGTAGGCATCCAGGCCGTCGACCATGTAGCCCAGCTGCCTCTTCGCCTCGCCCACCTGCTCGAGCGGCGCGCCCTCGCCCAACCCCTCAAAGATATTTGCGACGCGGACCTGAGACGAGTAGACGAGGTCGGTAGCGTACAAGTTGAAGTCAAGTGTGCAGCCATCGGTTGCTACTTTGCAGCTCTCGCACTTTCCATCCTTTTTGCATATGCCCCCGACGCAGCCAGACACGGCGCCATCGGCGAGCAGAGCTGGCCAGTCGTAGGTTGCAGCATACGTGCTCCAAAAGATGTCGCCGCACACCTCGTCCCACTTCTCAGCACCGGCAAGCGTCCTGTCGTAGATCCACTTCCGATTCGCCGGAGCGGCATCACCATCCATCGCTTCGGCGGTGACGCGGACGTTGCGGAGCTCGCCGCTAAAGTAGTTGATCGTGGTCTGGAGGCGGCCAATGTCGATGTAGAGGGGCGCGGTCAGCGCGGCGGTTCCCACGGCCTTGGTCCCAACGTTGACGCCATCCACATACAGGGCAATCTCCGAGACACCGTCGCCCAGCTTGCGCGCGGCGACGACGCTGTGCCATTTGCCGTCGGCGTACGAGTCGTCGCTGACGACGGTCGGGTCATCCACGCTGGGACTCCCGCCGCCAACGCCAAACATCACGCGGCCATCCCCGATGCTCACGCCGAAGTCGGAGACGACGCCCGCAACCTCGGCGTCGACCAAACCGCAGCCGTGATACCACTTGTCGGCGGAACCGCAGCCAGAGTCATCCGTCTTGAACTCAAACAGGATGCTGAATGCACCATCACCGATGCCGTTGCGTGGGAAGCGCACAAACGAGTCGCCGCCAAACGAGAAGGAGGCGGTCTCCGCGACGTAGGTGACTCCCTCGGCCTCCAGGGCGGAGCCGAGGTCGGGTTCCATCTCGAGATGGAAGGACCACACGTCGCAGCCGAAGCGGGACGGCGGACCCAGCCCGGGGCTGGCGTACGTGTTTGCGGGCTTGAGGCCGGCATCGTAGGCAAACAGGAAGGGCGGCTGTCCGCACTGCCGCTTCAGCTCCGCCTGGGCCGCAACGTCCATGACCTCCGGGACCACCCAGTAGGAATTCCACTCGGTGTGCGCCTGGATCGAGGTGCACTGCGTCGTGATCAGAAAACAGTCGTTGTGAGCAGGAGACCAGTCGTACGCTTTGCAATCGGGCCCCATTTCAGTGCACGCGTCCCGGCACTCGATCTGAGACAGGTGGCACGCACCTGCCCCACAGCTCAAAGGCCGCTTGCAGGTTTCGCCAGGACACGCGCCGCGCTGAGAGCAATATCCGTCGGTGTGCCCCTGGTAGAAGTCAGTGCGATCGGTACCGATCGGGCTGACCGTCAGCATCAGCCCGATCGGGGAGAG